AAAAATACAATTATAATCATATGCACACGCTTGGACTTCCGTTTGCGAGCTATTTCATAATTGGAAGGGTAGAATATGGTCACTAATGCATTGACCATATTGTACGCAAATTCGGGATTCTGTGTTCATCATACATCTTTGACAATTTATTATTGTTCTTTACCATAACTAAATTAAAAAAAATAGGTAGATTTTACATTCTAAAAAATAATTCCAATGTAAATCCCGCAATTTCAAACAAAAACAAACAAAAGTAATCTATATACAATTATTAGTCTATCATATTTTTACGTTACATTTAAAATTTTTGTATCTTTGATAAACCCTCTTCTTAGTTCCTAAAGTCTTAATAATCGGGATTGAGATTAAAAACAGGAGTTTTCCTACTTTTGTACAATAAATGGTCAACGTAGCGAAGACCGATAACTGTCAGTTTGACATCGCTCGCGTTTTTTAATGTTGCCAGTATTAATATGTAATTTGTCGGGATGGGCATTGTGATAAGCGTGTTCGGAGGGTGTTTGATTGATTAAATAAGCGTGCGCGGAGCGGATAGGTGATGGTTAAATGCATTTAGCGTGATAAGCGATCTTTGAGACGTGTGCTTGTAAGTAATGAACGGTTTTTTATTGCTTTGTAGAGTGTAGGGAGTTGGTACGAATATGGAACGTTGAAAATTCAATAAGATGATTTTTCATTAAATAAGTTCTTTTACGATACGATACATCTGAGATTTTACAAAACCAATGTTGGAAAAATTATAAGTGTCTAATTATTTTAGTGGTTCAATCTACATCAATACCAAATTATTCGTAACTAATTGAGAGTAATGATTTATAGAGGAATTAAATAAATAAGTTTTCAATCTTCTGCAAAAAAATCCCAAGTCCAAGCTATCACATGCCTTTGTAATTTATATTTATATTAAAAATGTTTAATAGAAAATATCATATAAGTGTAAAATGTGAGTATTCGGATGCGTCTATTCAAATGTGCCCCCCTCCCCACCCTCGCACTCACACAGGTGGACTTAATCAAATTATACAAATTGCAACGTACAATATTCATGGGGATAGTGATGTGACGCACATCGATAAAATGCAACGCCATGCAACAATATAGAAGATATATTATTAATAAAATATTTATGTTGTATTTCCCTTAAAGTAGTAGGCTATAAGGTACACTAGGTACACACTCTTAACTTATTTCATTTTTTCGACCAAAAGGGTCACACAAAAGGTGTGTCATACGTTTATTTGATTCTACTAAAGTCCTACTAAAGGGACCAGACTATTAAAGGGAATAGAAAAGAAAGTTTTCGTCCTTCTTCTTCCTTCGATTTACTTTTGAAGAACTTAATTAACACTTAAGAAGTATTTATTGAACAAGACTTTGTTACATGTCGTGTGTACATCATAGTGTAGATTACATAAACGTCACATAATATCGATAACGGCTGACTCATCACTAGAGGACAATCGACAAGTGTGATTAATTCATGTTCCATAATAAGGTCGAGCTTTTTAGCGTCCGCTGCGACCGATTGATTTGTGCCCAATTTGTCGCGCTGCGGTTTGCTTGAATATTTGAACGGATCGTCTGGTCATTCTGTATGTAATATTAATAATATAAGTGGAAAATGATGTCTGCTATTTTGTAGGGTTAGCGGTTTTTTACCAGCTTTTAACGCTTGTAACTTACCTTTATAAAGGCTTTGACTGTGTCTGCTAGTGTATGGTTAACCGCTAAAGCCATCCACAACTGTAAGATTCCAACTACGCGTTTTGTCTTTATATTGGAACTAGCTGTTCCCGTGCGTCTTCATCCGCATGAAATTATGAAAATATAATTTTTGTTTACATGTGACAAATTATCAATGTCAAAATGACATGACATGATGACAACCTTGCTTCCTTTATGTTGGCAGCAACTTATGGTCTCTTTAGGGTTTTCATCCACATTAGGGTTTTTATCCAAAATATTTAGTTTAATAGCGTTAAAATATATAGTCTAAAGCGTGACGAAGTGTAGGGCTTTTTATTAAAAAAAGAATTATTAAAAAATATGCTGTGATTGCTGACATCTTAGGCAACAAAGAAATGTGTGTTTACGCTTTAGTATAATAGTATAGAGTATAGATGTAATAGAAAAATGAGGGGAAATGGTCAAAAATTAATTCTAATATTGCGGTTTTTATTTGAAAATGTACTACACATGTTCGAGGATTTAATTTAAGATATATCAATCTGTAATTAAGTCGTTACATTATAAACATCGTGTACAATTACTTTGACCATTGTTCCCACAACGCACCTCAGTAGTTCCCACCCATCACGCAAGATGGCGCCGGCGTGCGGCGGCCACGTGCCGACGCGTGTCACCGCGCCCTTTGCGCTTTTACTGTTTTTATTGAAAACGCTCAAAAATAATAGAAACAATACGCCGCTGTCCCACTCAAGAATAAATTAGACTCGGTATTGTGGGGTTAAGGCGTAATTGAACCGATCATTATTAACGCATAAAGGAATTCGTGACGCAAAGGAATTATGCCTTGTTTAAATTCACCGGATAGAACTGTCACAGTCAATTAATAATCTTACTAATATAATAAATTTCGAAAGATTAGATAGATGGATGGATGTTTGTTAGTTTGTAGCCTAAACTGCTTAACGGATAAATTTAGCATTGATGTAAATGATAGGAATAGGCTACTTCTTTTTTTTTTAATTTCTCAGGCAGACGGAGTCGCGGGCGAATACTCATTTATGAAGTTATTTAGGCTTCAGTATGAACAAATATATACATACATGCTCTATAATAACCATTAAAAATAAAACAACACTTACAATCAGTATATTTTATTAAAAACCCTCTTTACACCAGAAATTGAATAACATTAATATGAAAAAGTATTCGAAGCAACCACTGCGTTAAAATGAGTATTATGTGAAATAAAAAAAATGGCGCCCGAGTACATAACGTTGAATAAATAGAAATATGTACTGTTACTTATATTAATCTATTAATTAGTTATACATTATGTAAGACATACAGCTAAGGTTGGGTAGATCAAAAATCTAATATTGACATTATAAACACACTTTCAACAAATACTTTGAATTAGATAATCTTTGTTGATACATAAACATGCATAACAGAATTCCTAAAATAAATGTCAAAGCTGTAAACCCAAAAGAAAACTGATTTACAACTGGTCTTAGATTTTATTTCTTCTTAAAAATAGCTAAAACGCGTGGAACGAAGTGCACCTTGGACATTGTCTTTAAAATACTTAGGGCCTGTCCTACCAAATTGTAAATTAGTCTGATAACAATTAAACGTGTAAAATATGTGATAGAAATATCGGATTTTGTTACCTTATCTGACAGTGACGTTATTTTTAGCTATCTGACTATCAGCTAGTGGTGGGACAGGCCTTAAAGTTAGCAAGTACACTCGAGAGCACTAAAATGGCACAAGTTATAATACAGGTGTTACACTAAATGGGCGGAAACGTTACGTATGTAAGGCACCAATTTTTTTTAAACCTATACAACCAGATACATCGAGAAAATTAATTAATAAAAACATGCATTTACTTAGTTTACGGCAATAGAAGTAATTGTGAGTTCACAGCAATGAAACATTGACATAAACTTTGACTATAGAGAAAAGGACTATGCAAACCGCGGAAGTAGTAAACATATACTGACAATTAGGTACTTACTGTCTAACGTATACTGACTTAATTTACATACAACACAAGCTCATAATTAAGAAAAACATTGTTCGTTATTATTGAAAATAGGGGAATGCGCGAGTTTGACAAGTCCTGTCTTTTCAAAGTCAAAGTCAATAAATAATCTCTCTGACACAATATTCCACATGTTTTTATCTGTAAACATTGTAAAGCAGTTTGTATTAATTATTTTTCTCCATATTAAAGGATCAAATGCCGCATCTTATTGAGTATCTAAAACTCCCCGACTTTGGTCTCTACTGAACACGAGATCTGCAAGCATCGTCTCCAAACTACAATATTATTGTAAAACTTGATAGAATTTAAATGCAAAATACATTTGATAACTAAATGTAAACATCTAGAGTCAATCAAGAAAACACTTTAGTTACTACAGAGTATTGAAAAACACCACAAATCTATACTTTAGTATACGAAAGGGGATAAAAAAATTAGATCAGAAGATAACAGTTAAATTAGCTATAATAGAAAAAAGGGAAAAGTAAACTGAAAATATGATAATTTTGAAATATAACTGCGCTACAAAACATTTGAAGGCAATCGGGCTGTCATGGCCTGAAACAAAACGCAGAGCCCAGGATAGAACGAGCTGGCGGCTGTGGACGTCCTCTACCTCACTTTGGGGACATAGGACAAGAAAGAAGACTGGGGTCCAGGATAGTCGCGTTGCGTAGTTCCGTCGCATACTCTCTGCTATACCTACTTCTAAGCAAGGACTAAAATGTTTCGACCAAAATATTTGAAATTAAATTTAGATATAAAAAAATTGAGATTGAAAAGGGACTTAACGATATTAATTGTATCAAATCAAAACAATTGCATTTAAATTCTATCCAATTGTTTAAATAATAATTTCCTAGTAACAATATTCCTAAGTCTTATTATTATCGATTATAGTTCTAAAATTACATTTTGGTATGATACTTATTTTAATTTAATAAATTAGTAAATCAGTCTATACTAAGAGTGAAATCGGTGGTTAGTGTTTTAGGCCAAATGAAAACCGAGTCAATTTTTAATCAATAAAGTAATTTCCTTATCAATTTAAGATATTAAAGCACCTGTTTAGGAAATTATTACTGAATTACAGTGATTGTGTTACATTATCAAAAAAACTAACAGAATTACAAATGTAATAGACGCAAATGTTAATACAATAATTTTATAACAATTTATTATTACAAACATGATTCAATATAATTTTGTAAAAATTGTTATGAAAAATGTACTCCTTTTTCGTATTTCTACTATATGTATTAAATTTTTTTCTAATAATCGTATTTTTAAACAAAAAACAAAGATTTTATCAAACCAACCATCATAAAACGTGCGGCAACATTTGTTAAAAAAAGCCACCTATAAAACTTAGAAATTCAAAAGTATGAAATATAACCTCAAACCGATTCCATACAAGTATGACATCATCTGATTAAAGCCTACAATTCACACTTTGTTCGTAAAATAATCAAGGGCAAGTTCCGTCAAAATGTACAATTCTTATCTCCGCCTTTGTTCTTTTAAGAGAATAAGAGAGATTTAAACATGTTTCTGTACAAGTTCCTGGCAAAAACTACCAATAAGTGACGTAGTGCGTTCGAAATCTTAATACTAAGTCAAATTCGTTACATTTAAGTTAACACCCTAACTAACTTAAAAGCAAAGTGTGCTTGAAAATCACGTTTATGTTAGGTCAAATTATATGTTACAATTCCCTATTTTCATTTTTTTTTTAATTTACTAGAATTATCAAACATGGCCTAACAATTCCGATATACATAAACATTTAAGTGAAGGCTTATTTTGAAAGTTACGTGCAAATTTATTTTAAATTTAATCCGAATCATTTCCTTACAAAAAATTTAAAAATTATATCACATTTTAAGAATAATTTTTAAGATAACTGTTATAAAAACTTTCACCGATTCTCACTTATATAAACGTTAGATAACAGTCAAAGCCACACAAAGCAAACAATTATCACATGGAAAAGACAAATTCGTGCGAATCAAACACAGCGTTGAACAAGACACAAAACAAGATATTAGAAACTATGGAAAATGTTACAATATCACATAGTTTTTTTAAAAAAAACATAAGTCGTCTACAAAAAAAAACTACTTCAATATTACAATTTTATTAACACAAAATGTCACCTTTGTATTTCCCGTAATTAAAAACAAGGGTAACAATATTCTTGTAAAAGTGAGAACCGACTGTTAACGGAATAGAATTAAAAAAAAATTGTTAATGTAAAATTTTCCATTTGTATAGCATTAAGTACAAAAAGGAACAAAACGGTAATTACACAAAACAAAATTATTAGTAAATTTAACACCTCGAAGAAAAATCACGGAAATATCCGATAATCATTTACTTAATATCAAAAATCCAAATAAAATCCAGCACTAACTGATTGTATTAATATTGAAGATAATATGACATTTAAAAAACCAACAAAAAGATCAAAATATTGACGCCGGTGGGCGTTTTAACAAAACTGAAACTTGAAAAAACATTGATAGACAAATCTTATTAGAGATATCAAATATAACATAATTATACTGGAAGGTGTCAAAAGCGAATTGGACAAGAATTGTAAAAACCAACAAAACGCAAAGCGCTAGATTCTATGAGCACAAATGTGACAGCAAATATCATACACAAATAAAATATGCAAAATAAACATCAGGGTAATAATGTATTTCGTAACGAACATTTAATACTTACAAGAAAGACATACAAAAAGCACCTTTATAATTTTGAGACAACGAAATCACAACGGTTGCAAATATGAGCAAATAAACCACCGATGAAATCAGCTACACAACAAAATATTATCGATTACATATATAAAATGTATTAACGTATGTACTTATGGATATAAACTATGAGATATGAGATTCGTATCTTATGTGTCGAATATATTGGACATAACACACCAATCATTAAAAATCAAACACTTAAAACCAGAGTCTCACAAGGTCTTCAGACCTTATATACGCGCTTAGAAGATTCTAGAATAAATTGATATCAAAAGATCCGTGGTAAGCGCGTACACGATCTGGATACACTCCGTTCGCTACAAATCTGTTACAGGTCCGAAGACGACCGTGGAATTGTTGCTCGAGTTGCCGCTCGTTCGGCGAATGCGCGCGTTCGTATCGTGTTCGGATTCGCTCGGGAGCGATTCGGGACCGTTTGTAGTCTGGATGCCGGTGAATTTGGATCGCAGCTGTGTAACTAGACGTTCCAGTCTGCAAGTGAAGCGCTGCTTAGCATGTCAAAAGATCCGTAACTACTTCAATTAGCTAATAAAGCGGAAAGTATGGAGTGCTCGGAAAGTAGTTTGCGAAGATACCTAGAGTGCGTTTACGAAATTGAGAAAGAATAGATATCAAGCGATCTTAGTCATTGTTATTTATTTAATTTTGTCAACAATACAAGAACGAAGAAAAGCTATATTACTATTAGCAATGAAATAAACACAAACCCCACAAAGAACACATACAATAATAAAAGCATGTTTACGATAGTTTAGAATTATAAAAATTCTCCGTCAAAATACTAAAACTAAAGGAACTAAAGGCAAAGAAATAAACTATTTGGTACATTTTTGGTAAGGAATCGTCAAGCAATATAAGTTTGTCTCACTTGAGAGCATGTTCGTCGGAACTTTGCTTTGCTTTTCGAATGTTCTCGATTTCTTTGCGCAGACGTAAGCGTTCTGTCTCCGCATCCTCAACATTGCCGTTCGTTATTCTGTTCTCAGTATCAGATCTGTAAAAAGGTAAATTATATTATGTAAATCAAAACAAAAAGTTATCTATAATCTCCAATTATGAAATTTGATATAGATGTAGAGGATAGTCTAGAAGAACACATAGGCTACCCACTTTTCTTTGTTTTTTAGTTAATTCCACGCGGATGGAGTCGCGGGAGAAAGCTAGTGTGATATAAGTGGCTAGAGACTCGGACAATTAAACAATTTATTGCTTAAATTGCATGTTAGGAAGCTTAGTGTTAAATAAATCAGCAGAATACGAGGAATGCCATAACATTTTCTCTTTGACCATAAACTTACTCTTTGACCCTCAACAGCCGCACGTCCTCCTCGAGCTTGGCGACGCGATCCATCATACGTCGACTGTCAGCGTCCGCTGCGCGGAGAGCGCTCTGTGACAACGTAGTACAAACAATTAGCTGATTCAACGTCACCGGAACAAACGCTTTTTTATCTATGGTATCAGTTTTTTATTAACGGTAATTTGTTGGCAACAGATTAATCTGATATATGAAGAAGATAGTTTTTATTATAAAGTATTCTTCAAATTTCCTAATATGAAAATAATAAATCCTTCAAAAACTATAAAGTTTATAATATTAAAAAAGTTTAGATAGATAGATGGATATTTGTTAGAGTTTATAGCCTAAACTACTAAACAGATCTCAAAGAAATTAGGCATAGATGTAGAACATAGTCTGTAAGAACACTTTTTTTTTAAATTCCACGCGAATGGATTCGCATGCAAAGGCTAGTGTTATATAAATTCATCCACCACTATACTAATATACTATATACGTTCAAATCTTAACCCTGTAAATGCCATAAGAGATGCGTGGGCGCGCACTCACGGCAAGTTTGTCCGGCCCATTAGCGCTCTTACCGCGAGCGGTGCCCGTAATAAGTTAATTGAGGTGCAAAAACATCCCGCCGAGTCGCTTAGCACTATCTCCTTAATGCCCCAAACGCGCTAAATGCACCACCAGCCGTCTAACTAAGTACCGGTACGGCTTCGCTTTAACGGAACGCTTAAGTAGATTATTGGTATTATGTTTGTATTATTCGTTAGTGGCCAAATGGGTTTCGATAGCACGGGAAAGGTTGAAGAAGATTTATAAAATGTTATACTGAAATTTACGTTCACATCGTTTCGGCGTGAATATTACAAGTATGAGGGGAAAATGACCGTGAATTAATGGACACCCGGGGTTATCTGTATTCAAGTAACATTGGACATGTATTAAGTGAAATCTTAACCATTTCCCTGCAGTCTGTATGTGGTGGTGCAATGTCGACGGAGGTACACACGCGCCGGAACAAACAAAATTAGCTGGTACGCCTTTCGAGTGTTAGTTGTGTCAATACATCTCTTGACGACAGATATTGTTGCTAATTTCAAGTATTTTAGGAATATGCAAGTTCACTGATTCTTACAAAACATTATTATTGTTATCATAAACTTAATATGAAAGAGTTGATATGTAAAAGTGGGCGCACACCTTTGACTAAACTATCGCACAACTGAGTTGCGATTGTCGATTGTTTCGCAGCTAACTCAACTGTTTAGTTGCACAACTAAAATCGAGTAGTGTACGCACCTCTAAGCTCGTAGGAATCAAAGCACAACTAAACAATTGTGCGATACTTTAGTCAAAGGTGTACGCGCTCTAAGAACTAAGTGATATCCAGACGGACGAAGACGCTGGCAACAGATAATAAAAGATAATTTTATTGGTAAAGAAGTTGGATGCTTTAACAGTTTTGCATTTACTGTTCAACTTCAACTGTCCTTTACAAGTATTCAAATGTACGTATAATTATACTAATATAAAAAAGGAAAGATTTGTATTTTTGTATGTATTGGAATAACTCAAAAACTACTGGGCCGATTTCAAACATTCTTTCATTGTTAAAACGCTACTTTATCTCTGAGTAACATAGGCTATTTTTTTTTAAATTTCACATGGGCTAAGTCGCGAGCAACAGCTAGTACAAAGTATATTCAGTGTACATAGCACAAAGCATATGGCAGTCGATGTCGAGGCGGGATTATAAAATCACCAGAACAGAGCACGGTCGGCAGGCGCACGCATCGATTGTACGCGAGGGCATTCGTATGACTAGATAGGACTGTCTATCACACCGTAGTGAAAAAATTGTATGTATAAATTCATATATTGGTCCAAAAATGAACATTATCGTAGAATGAAAACCAAAACTTTTAGTTACTGTAACGCCTTAAATTGGACTTAAAATATCGACTGTAAATCTAAAATGTCTAAAACAAATCTAAAACAAATCTTCATAGTAAGACCAATTCTCGTTATCTACGCCCAAGATTTGCATTCATATTGAATTTTACGAATCTAAAATAAGCTTCGGTGTGACAGTAGGTCCGCATAACTTTGGTATTTTGTAGTCTTTAGCGTCCCCACATCGGAGCATTTGAAATATGAACGGGGTGCGTGAGGGGCGCGGCGCGGGGTGCGGGCGGCGCGGGGCGGGGTGCTGGGCAAATATTGGCAGATGTAAGTGGATGGCTGCAGCGTGGCGCCACCCTAGCCGTGACGTCACCTGCCCCTCGGATATACCAACGAGTAAACGAATATTCCGAATCGTGTACCGGTATGACGTTTTAAGTCGAATATCTCAGTTGCCTTCGGTTCCATGTAACCTTAAAACACCACAGTCATCTTTTATATACTAGTTTTGATCCGCAACTTCGACCTTGAGGTATTAAAAAAACTTAATTATTCTAAACTTGTTTCACATCTGTGACTAATTCTGATCCGCTAAGCCGTTTTGGAGACACATAGTAATAGACATCCATCCATAAATCTAAACGCATTCATATTAGTAAGAAGCACAGATAATATACTAGTAAAAAGTAATACCTAAGAATAAGTAAGATTATCATCTGGCACATTCAAATATTATACATGTAAGGTTTCAACAACCTTCAAATTGCACACTCAAATTCTCAATAACAATTTTTTTTAACAAATGACGTCTTTTCTACCGTTGCTACTAAAGGTCAATTAACTCAGTAGAGAACAAATAAAACTAATATTACACAGGATAAAATAAACATTTCGTAATTATTAATTACGTAATATTAATATAATTTTAGGTCGAACTTAAAAATTCAGTAAAATTAAATTTGAAACTAGTCATTAAATTCTGAGAGAACACATAGACTAATTGCTTTTTTAAAATTCTACGCAGACGAAGTTAGGAGCAACAGCTAGTCTATATAAAATTGCAACGTGTCTGCAATGACTTTGGAATTATATTTTTAGAATGATAAGCAATAAAATTATTCCGTTTTGCAACGTCATATATTCGGTGTGTACATCGCCCGTCGCCAAGGTTACCATGCATCTTTTACGAAAACCACATATAGTAATTCAATATTTAATTTGAAATTAATTCCAATAAGACTGGTTAATGGACAGTTCGAGTAAATATGAAAATTAGGACACCTTCAAAATTAGTGTACTTTAGGTTCCTAATATGTAGCTTTGGACGTACAGATTAAAACCAACGCATTTATCTTCCCTACCTTATCCTACTTCTGTAGGGTTAGCGCACCGGATTTTCGTCCTCCAAATACCTCTATCATCCGTCATCTCAGTCACCACTCCCTTGATCTTGTCACCTTTCACACAATCCATCCATCTCTTTCTACGTCTACCTCACCTCTACCGGTATACCTCTCCACATTAAAACTAACCTTCTTCTTGTTACATGCGATTCATTCCTTCTCATTATCATGTTACAAGATAATACCAACGCATTATTGATTATTAATCTCCTCTCAGTCGATCTAAAAATCAGGAAATCTATCATGTTAGAAAACATTCCACAGTCAAAAAAATATAATAGATTCAAATAAACAATAAAAAATAACAAATAAAATAAAATCCCAACTTCACGTATAACATGGTCACCCGACATTTCGCGTGACGCAAACAAACAGGTACGTAGTAGGTGTGACGTAAAGGAACGGGGAAGGCGTCGAGGGCCCTCGAGCGGACCACCCAGCGCGCTACGCAAACACTATTTAATACTACCGAATCGAAAAACTTAAAGAAACACGCAAAATGTTATTTATAGTCACCCCGGATAGCAGAATACTAGATCAAGGGTACAAAACACATTGCGTAAAAAAATCATAAATAATAACTTTTTATAAGACCACATCACACACATAACATTGTAAGTCTTACAAATATCTCGGTACAGAACTTTCTAAGGACAGGATTTTCTAAAATTGCATTTTAATTTAATAACAAAATTATTAAAGAGTAATTAAAACAATGAAACATTATTTAACAGATATATTTGCAGATAAAGATTTTCAGGATATTCGAAAAAAAAAAAGAAAATGAAACCTTTTGAAATATAATTGAAACAGATTTATGAAAATACAAAAATTGTTTAGGAATTGTAAACAGCGACAACTATTGGATATTTCCGAAACTATCAATTTTCGTAGTCACATTTTTTATTTACAACGCCATCTTTACGAACACAAGGAACATAAGGTAATAGACCTTCAACCTCGTAGTTATGGAAGTATCGTATAGATAGCGCTTGAAACCAATTCAAAATTAACTTTCTATACTTCCACAGATAGATGGCGTTTAAACAAAGTACGTACCTTTAAATCTTCAATTGTTCTTTCAGACTTTTTCGACTCTGTGGACGAGTAGCTATTCTGGAAATAAAATAAGATTTTATTACAAAATTATTATAACAACTTGATACAAGCAAATTAATACAGCGACCGTTATAAAAGTCCAATTATTATATAGCGTTAGCGTTAGAATGATAGAGATTTGAAAGAGAGTAAAAGAGAAGAATATAAGAATTGTAAGCGATGTGCTAAAAAAACAATTGCAATTACTAGGGCACAGGCGCAAAACAAATTATACGAATCTCTGGATAGCCCGCCGGGACAAAAACATCTGTTCCGTATAGCAAGAGAAAGAGAAAGAAGTGGAAGAGACATAAACAATATTAGATGCATAAAAGACGATGTAGGAAAGGTATTGATGAATGATGATGATATTAAAAAGCGATGGAAGGAATATTTTGAAAAACTGATGAACGAAGAGAATGTTTTGAGTGGGGTGTTGGAAAACATACCTGTTAATATTGGTATGGTGAAAGAGATTAGTGTGGATGAGGTAAAGAAAGCAGTGCAAGGTATGAAGAACGGAAAGGCCGTAGGGCCGGATGGAATACCAGTGGAAGTATGGAAGCTGCTAAAGTCGGATGGATGGGTGTGGCTGACTTTATTCTTCAATAAGTTGTTACAGGAAGAGGTAATCCCAGACGAGTGGTGCGGTAGCGAGCTGGTACCCATTTATAAGAACAAGGGGGATGTGCAGGACTGTAACAACTATAGAGGAATAAAGCTCATGTCACACAGTATGAAAGCTTGGGAAAGAGTGGTAGATGCAAGAATCAGGGAAGAAAGTGAGGTATCTCGGAACCAATTCGGATTTACGCCAGGTCGGGGGACTACGGACGCCATTTTTGCCATTCGCCAGCTGTGCGAAAAATTTAGGCGTGTGCATAAGAACCTGCACATGGTGTTCGTAGACCTCGAAAAGGCGTATGATAGGGTTCCGAGGGATGTTTTGTGGTGGGCTTTGAAAGTAAAAGGAGTGCCTGGGAAATACCTGCAGCTTATTCAGGCCATGTACTGGCGAGCCAGTACATACGTCCGGTCCGCTGCTGGCGATAGTGACAGGTTCGGTGTCTCGGTGGGTTTACACCAGGGGTCGGCTTTAAGCCCGTATCTGTTCCTCCTGGTAATGGATGCTTTGACATCAAACATACAGGAGGAGGCACCCTGGTGTATGCTTTATGCCGATGACATCGTGCTTGTCGGGGAGGATGAATGCGAGGTACAGAGCAGGTTGGAAGAATGGCGGGTTAAATTGGAGGGAGCTGGTCTTAAAATTAGCAGGACTAAAACTGAACATTTGTTTTGCGATTTTGGCGGTCCGACCAGCTTCTCTCCAATCGCCTTAAATGGTGTGCCTCTACCAACCTGCTCCGACTTTAAGTACCTCGGTTCTCTAGTCCAGTCCGACGGTGGCGTTGACCGAGACGTAAAAAGCCGAATAAATGCAGGTTGGATGAAATGGCGACAGGTTACTGGTGTGACTTGTGATCCAAGAATGCCTCTTAGGCTTAAGGGACAGATCTACAAGTCCATCATAAGACCTGTCGTATTGTATGGATCTGAATGTTGGCCCACCAAAGTTGCGGATGAAAAGAGATTGCATGTGGCTGAGATGCGTATGTTAAGATGGATGTGTGGTGTGACAAGAATGGATAAAGTTAAGAATGTGTACATTAGAGGAAGTTTGAAAGTAGCACCAGTGGTGGAGAAATTGAGAAGCAAAAGGTTAGCGTGGTATGGACATGTTATGCGACGAAATGATGGGGACATAAACCAGAAAGTGTTAAGATTGAATGTGGATGGCTACAAAGGAAGAGGAAGACCGAAGAAAGTATGGATGGATTGTGTGAAAGAGGATATGCTTAAGAAAGGAGTGGATTCAGATATGACGGCTGATAGAGATGTATGGAAGAGCAGCACATACTGTGCCGACCCTCCATAAGGGATAAGGGCAAGTGGATGATGATATTATATAGCGTTAGCCTAAAAATATTTGTCCTAAATCTGTATAGAACATTACTGCGCAAATATTATACTGCAAAGTAAAGGTGTGTCGGCATTGCACGGTGTTGGAGTTGGGCCAATATTTCCACTGCCGGAGTCAAACCCAAGTTAAAAATACGCGCAACGACTTTGAATGTACGTAATAAAAGAATATATATCTAATACAAATAGGTGGTAGACATGTATCTTGCTAGTTAGTATCCTTACAAATTTATGATTTTTTTTTTATATTCATTTGGTAGGTGTAAAAATGATTAGGATATTTCTCTAAATATCAACTTACATCGACCCTCTCCAGCACCATAGCTCGTACCCTGGTGTAGAGCGCCTCTTCTCTCAAACGTGCGGCATCTCGGATCTCTCGCACGAGGTCTGTTAGGAGTCCCGGGGGGTACTGGCCGTTAAGAAGCCCTGTGGATAGAACCCATGTTATTTTTTTTTATAATATAAGGTGGCAAAAGAGCAAGCGGCCACCTGAATCCACAGAAATGGAAAGCGACCATTGCCCATAAACATCCGAAATTGCAGATGCGTTGCCTAACTTACTTGACGGAGGAGGAGACGCACATAAAGAGGACATTTCCCCTTCTTATGCGTCTCCTCCACTGTCAAGTTCACTTTTCCCTCCCCTCCTTTCCTCTTAAGAAAAGGGTGGAAAGGGAAAGGGACTAAAATCACACTATTATGCTTAGTTAAAACCTGAATGCTAATCCAAAACTATTTTCTGATAGTCCTTTTACAATATTTTAGTGATAATGTGAATATATTCCTCAAACTATATACCCTCAACTAGGTAACGTCGTTAACTATGATGATCACTTTGGAATCCGGGGTAGATAGTGGTTAAGGAACGCATAACGCATGGACTAACGACTATAAACTGAAACGAATCTTAAATACTTCCCTTCGCAAGAACTGCTGACAATCTGATAGACGTCAACTACGGAATTTGGAGAAAGGTGGCCCTATCATTTAAATGGCGTTTCAGTATTCTGCCGTTATATTTATCTTATAAGAATATTTCTTATTCCACATTAACAAAGGTTATCGTACTGACTGTTGTCTGACTGTCGGGTCAGCTTGTCTAAACTATTATAATAAAGAGGACGGATGTGTATTTTTGTATATAATGAAATAACTTAAAAACTACTGGGCCGATTTCAAAAATTATTTCACCATTAAAAAGCTACGTTATCAGTGAGTAACATAGACTATGTTTCCATTTTTTTATTTCACGCGCACGAAGTCGCGAGCAACAGACAGTACAATATAAAAAGTAACATCCAACAGCAAGCGAAAGTGTAGGAATCAGCGAGATATCAACGGGAACCGATTCGAATCGTTTCATTAGAAACGGTTTAATCTTGATGTTAATTTTAACGCTACATTAAACTGGAATCGGACACCGCACAGAGTTATTTAGCCCAGAAAGTTATTGATTTCAATATAAAATCCAACGTAGCTGCTTAACTGTTGGAGATATTATCCATTGAAACGCTATAACAAAAATACTCTTAGCCGGCAAATGATGTATTCATGACAGTGTGATATTCGAATAGTAATTTCCATGAGTTTAAGGGTTCCACTGGCTGATAAAGGATCAGATAGCTTAAAAATGACGTCACTGTTAGATAAGGTAACAAAATCCGATATCCATCAAATATTTTACACGTTGAATTGTTATCAGACAATTTACAATTTGGTGGGACAAGTCCTTAGAGATTATTTTTTTAATTTTATTTTAATTAAATAGTAGTATGGTTATCCAATAGATCGTTTAATTGTGTGAAAATAACTTACGTTACGCCAAACGAATGTAAAAAGTGAAATAACCGCTTAATTACAGCACGGTTGATTAAATGCTTTAAGCGAGACCTTTTCTTGCTAATGAAGACTTGTAATAGTGATGGAAAGGATAATTTCATAATTCTGATTAGAATTCTTTTTGTGAAAACCTTATTAGGTAGATTTGTAGCTTGTATTAAGTTGTCTCAATGGAAATGTGCATACGCTATGGTAACCATGGTGACGTATGAAAATATATCCATCTTAGTTTTGTTTTCTAATATAGACCGACAAGGATATTTGACCAGGTGGGAATAAGTCAAACTAAATAATGACAGAAAACTAGTGCCCCCCTGTCAACGGCATAAAGTGATATTTTTTAATTTCACGTCATTATCTATGTTTATATACGACTAGCTTTCGCCCGCGAATCTGTCCGCGTGGAAATAAAATAAAAACAATAGTGACCCTTTGTGTTCCTCCGGACTATCCTTTACATCTATACCAAATTTCATCGAAATCTGCTCAGCCATTTAGGCTAATTACGCTAGCAAACAAACATCCATCCATCTAAACTTTCGCATTTATAATACGAGTATTAGTATGATTTACATAAATTCTGAACGAACTAACAGCCACAGCAACCCTTAACGGCTTAGATATCCTTGTACCTGCAATCAAAGCGATCGCTAAGAAGATTTAAATGAAACTTTTAATTAATCAAGTTGTATCTGCTTGCCCTCAAACGAGCAGGCGAGGTTATCCGGGTCGCATGCTGCACGCAACGTTACATCGCTTCTTTACTTATATAAACTTAATTGATAAACACTTTAAAGATGCTCGCTCTATTTAACCGCAAATATTTTCGTACAGTCAGCTACTAAATATATAAAGTATAAACACTGGTTTTCTCCCGCGACTCCGTCTGCGTGGAATAAAAAAGACAAAAGTAAGTAGCCTATGTGTTCTTCCAGATTATGTTCTACATCTATGCCAAATTTCATCCAGATCCATTCAGACGTTAAGGCTACAAAGTCTAATAAACATTCATCCACAAATCCATCTACTTTTTAAACTTCGGGAACTCGAATACTCCTTCATGAATTTTTAAAATATGAGTATTTTCAAAAATATGTGTTCACCAGCATGCTTTAAACCACGAATACTCGCTATTAACTAAAACATGTATACGTATTTAGTTTCTAAATGCTTTTACATGTATACATTTTCATGCAGCTTACTGTACCTACGAGTTTCTACATCATAACGAGTAAACGAGGTGTTAGAAAAGTTGGAACGTTATAAATAATTTTATCAGATTTAGAGTCACTCACAATAAGAATAATCAACGGAAAACATTGTTACAATAGAAATGACCGGCGTGGAAAAAATATAATTCTTCATTGTTGCGATTTATACTACTCTAATCTCGATAACAGTAAAGTCTGTAGCACATTTGGCGCCAATCTACAACTATAAATAAACTAGCGGTCGCCCGTGACTTCGTCAGCGCAGATTTTAAAAAAAGAAGCCTACATTCTTGAGTATCAAGTATCTTCCCGTCAAAGTACCCTCAAACGCTACAGCCTCTGGACAGACAGACAAACAAACATCTTGGTTTTTCGTAATCAGCAACACAAATACATCATGTATTTATTATATGTATGGATTATTAAATTTCTTTAAAGTTTATATAATGAGTGTATAATAACATTTAACATTTTAATAATTGATTTTTTTATAGCTGAGACAGAAAAAAATACGAAAGTTGATTAAAATATTTCTTCTAGTTATCTTCATCGCAACACTGTGTGTAACAAGTTTTATATCACATTGATGTGGAACAAAAAACTGGTGCGTTTAATGAACGTTCATCTGAGAAAGCACTGTTTCAAGTATCCGCGGGAAATAACTTCATTGCATTTTATTGTCCAATTCAAGTTACGGGACTGCTTTCACTGGGAAGTGGGACTTTTCTTGGTAATTACGTGATTTATTTTAAAATTAGTGGCCGGTACTACGGTTAATTTAAAAAATAACTGTAAATCTTACTAATATTATAAATGCAAAAGTTTAGATGGATGTTTGTTAGTTTCTAGCCTGAACGGCTGAACGGGTTTGGATGAAATTTGACATAGATGTAGAGGATAATCTGGAAGAACATATAGGCTATTTACTTTTGCTATTTTAAATTCCACGCAGACAGAAGCTAGTCAAGTTATAAAATTTAGTAACAGCCTTCTAAGTAAGTCGGTGACATCATGCACGATGCATGTAACCGTTAAGTAGGCGTTAAGCAGACTTATTAGAAGTCGTTGATTCCGGTGTTTATGAAACGACTGTCTGTGAATTTCCACTGTCATCGCACCTGTACAGAAACATATTTTTTATCTGCATTCTAAAGAACAAAATAACATCATATTGTACATGTTGACAGCTGAAGAAACTCTTGGTACTAATGTCTTACTATAATTTTTCCAGAAAGCATAATCTTAACTAGTATTATAAATAGAACAGATTTGGTTGAAATAACTCAAACAGTACTGGGCTGATTTAAAAAAAAACTTTGAACACTAAAAAACTACGTTATCATTGAGTAATAGACTAAATTTCTTCTTTATAATTTCACTGGGACGAAGTTGCCAAAAATAAATGAATAACGTAAAGCGATACTACATATGCTCCGCTCCTAGACAGTTTTAGCACAGTCGAAGTATTGAGTTAAAACTGTGCGTTTGTAGGCAAAACTGTAATTGTACAATTGAACTGAACGTGTGTAGCGTTTTGTCTTTTACATTTTCACAATGTGTCAATACAAATGTCAGTTGAATCCCACAACAAAAGAGGATAATTGCAAGGAATCTATTTATATTTAAAGATAATATGGTTGGTACATACAATTACATGTGTGGAATAATACCTATGTCGATAGATGCAAATAAACAGTTATTACGCACTCTCACAATAAAGTTTCATTTATCTTATTCCCAAAAATTTCATCAAGAATCAATACAAAGTAATACGGAAATTCGCAACTTTAATACGTTGAATATATTTAGTTTAATTTACTTGTAAGTAAATGTTATTTCCTGTTTGTTTTAATTATACTTGAACGTCTTTTTTCTGACTAAAACCCTTTTTCAACAAGGAAGTAAATCTGACGACCTTTTTTCACCTTTATTCAATTGTTTCATCACAATATTTACCGTTATTATTTAGATTATATCACGTATATTTGATTTAAAAGAGGGTCAAAATGGCGAAGGTGAAAATAGTCTTATAAATCTGAAAATTCACATAAAATTTAAGAAGTATATCTATAAACCTTTTCGCTGAGTCAAAACAACGTCCTTGAAAAATTTACGATGACGTAATCGCTAGATAATATTTGTAATCTTTGGTATTTCAGTTCTAATGATTCCAACATGATTAAAATTCTGTATTACTTGTAAAAAATACATTGCATGAAAATGTTTCAATATGTTAGTCTCGTTAAGAGCGGGTGCAAATCTTTGACAAAACTATCGCAAAACTGTTGTGCGATTGTCGATTGTTTCGCAGTCCATTCAATTGTTTAGTTGCACAGTTAAAATAGAGTAGTGTGCGCACCTCCATAAACTCATAGGAATCAAAACGCGAGTAAAAAGTTCAATAGTCTAGTCAAAGATGTACGCGCTGTAAGGGTTTACGATTTGAAGAGGTTTTCAGGCGTTCATAAAAACATAAAATGAAGAAAAAGCATGAGAACTGGTCTATTATATGAAAAAAATGCATTTTTGGTATATCTTACTTTATAAATTTTACTAGATCGTGTAATCTCGTGCGAAGATTGATAAGGCCACTTGGCGTGTATCTTTCGAGGTCAAATAAACGTAGAGAGTATCACAATGGATATCAAATTATCTAGTAAGTATAAAATTTCAGTTATTTGGTAATGAAATCAATATAGAAAGATAATAAAGATAAAATACGCAATAAGATATAAGTTTATGAAAATAATTACTTTCTACTTTGTATATATGAACATATGAGATAACATAAATCTAAAATTGCCTAAACTTATTCAAACATATAAAAAAACGATAAAAAGAATCGAACTAAATGATTCCCATCACATTTCATCATCGTTTCATTAAAAATAAATCGGAATGAATTTGATACATTAGGCATTTAACTTTACAGCTGTCATGCAATGAATGCTATTGGGTTCTCGAAACAGAAACATAGTTGTTTCCCATTGGGCATGGATACCGAGAGCCAAATGGAGAAACATCCTTTGGGTTGATCATTAAGCCAATCAGCCCAACAGGAAACACCGAGAAGTATACACACAATATTATTCTTCAAGTTGTTGTTTAAATTGTACATACCATTGTTGTTAAGAGGACTCCCCATAGCTCCGAGATTTGTGCTTGAAGCATTCTGTATGAATGCAGTTTGATGTCGCATTGCTTCTAGTTCCGCTGGAAATATTAATACTACATTTAAAATTTTTTTACGGAATCTTAAAGAATAAAACATAATAAGGACATATGTTATAATGCTACCAAAAATTAAGATAAAACCTTACTAATATTACAAATGCGAAAGTTTAGATGAATGGATGTATGTTAGATTTTGTAGCCTAAACTTCTGAACGGATCTCAATGAAATTTTGCATAGATGCAAAGGAAAGTCTGGGAAAACACATAGGCTATTTCCTTTTGATTTTAATTAATTCCTCGGGGACGGAGTCGCGGGCGAAAGCTAGTGATTAAATAAAGCTAAAAAAAAACTCTTTCATACAACATTTCATTTGAAGAAAAAGAAAAGTATATGAATTCCAATCAATTAAAATATCTTGTAATCCAATAAATGATATATGTAAAGTAAATGGATTACTGCATACCTTATCCAAGACACTGGCTTATTTCTTAATAATTCCTAGTTATTTATATTGTAATGTTAATAGAAATATTATTGTTTTTAGTAAATAATTATAAAATTTCATGAGTTTACTCAATTCTATCATACTAATACTAATATTATAAATGCGAAAATTTAGAGGGATGGATGGATGGATTTATGTTTGTTAGAGTTTGTAAAGTATGGATCGATTGTGTGAAAGAGGATATGCTTAAGAAAGAAGTGGATTCAGATATGACGGCTGATAGAGATGTATGGAAGAGCAGCACATACTGTGCCGACCCTCCATAAGGGGGGCAAGTGGATGATGATGAGAGTTTGTAGTGTAAACAGCTAAACAGATTTTGATTAAATTTGGCATATACATAGAGGATAATCTGGAAGAACACATAGGCTACTAAGTTTTTTTTTTTAATTCCACTGGGATGGAGTCGCGGACAAAAGGTAGTAAGTGAATAAAATGTCAACTAAATTGTTAATAGATTCACAAATCTGTATAATAATAGTTCTTATTGTTATTAGCTTGATTATATATAGAGAATCCATTGAGGTAATGATTAAAACAATTTGTTTTAATCAATACAAAATTTACAAAACTATGATTTATTTAAAAACATATTACAAATAAGATATAACAAAAGATCTCTTTGAAGTTATTGTATTGGTATTTATGTATATTGGATGTTGTTTAAATATTTTTATGGCCATATTGTGATGTGGGAGGCGACAATAACCTTCACAATTCAAGTTTATTTTAATGCATTAAGATATAGATGTTTATGAATCACTTATTATTGTTACTAAATGATATTAATAATAAGAAAACAAAGATGTCACTGACTTAATATGTCCACAACCCTATTATGAAAAAAGGGGTGGGAAAGGATCACAAAACTTGTGACATCACATTTTTACAAAATGTAATACTTTATATCTATGTATTTAACTTAAATTACACAAGAAATATTAATTTCAGAAGATTGCTGTTTTTTTTTTCGGAATTTCAAAGGAATTTCGAATGATGGACTTATGTCATTGATAAAAAGAACAAATAGCAACGGTCCTAATATAGATCCCTGAGGGATACCCGAGGGAATAGACATCCATGTTGACATGTAACCATTGAGCACAACAGCTTGTGAGCAGTTGGATACATAAGATGTAAACCATCTAAGCAGACTGCCGTGTATACCGGCTTTCCGGAGCTCTTGCAGCAATTTTAAATGGTCTATTCTATCAAAAGCCTTGCAGTAGTCTGTGTATATGGTATCAACTTGGAGCGCACTATAAACCTGCTTGTGATTAACACGTTCGAGTATTTTGGCAAACAGACAAAGTTTGGATATTTGTCTATAATTTTATACAGCAATTGTATACATATATCAGAGAACTTAGTCTTCCGATAACCTCATATTTACAAATCAAAGCAAATGTCAGCTAAATATAAATTTTAATTGAATTAAAACAGAATAATTACAAAATTGAACATACCTCTTGTTTCCTGCAATTCTTTATTCAATTTTTCGTTAGCCCCTTTTAATGTTGTTATTTGATCCAAGAGACAAGCTAATAGACGGCTTCCAACTTCATTCTCAGAGAAATCAGAACTCTCATCAGACACAGAATCTATGTCACCGTTAGCTGGTCTTGCTACATCAGGCAAACCTCTTACACATGGGTCACTGTATCTTCGAGCATTATTTGAGTCTTCCTTCGGTACGTTTAAGTCACTTGTAGAATTCGTGTCACCTATAGAAGTTACAATTGGGGGTAAACTTGTGTAGTCCTGACTATCCGAATTTTTCGGCATGTAGCTATGACTTATCATACTATCAACATTCTCCATTGGCGCACTAGAAACTTCTTCGGCCTTATTCTCATTCCGTCTTAATTTAGGTCTATGTGTCTGTTCAGAGTGGTGCATGCAACGATATCCAGAATTGTACCCTGGGTGCACATGAGGGTTGTAATACATCGAAGATGTAGGCAGCACTGGATCATGCAAATAACTGTACATGTTATTTCGAAAGATTTCGTGATTGGAGCCAAGTGTATTACTGACCGGCCAATTTAAATTTGGTGCGACATACGAATCATACGGGTTCGTATTTGCTGTAGTCTCTTGTATATGCCGCATAGTTTTATCCAACCATTTAGTAAGGTACGAACCCTTGCTGTTACGGGATTTTTTTCGATTGCCCAGGGCTCCTTCGGTCGAAGTTGGGACATTGTTCACTTTCTGCGGTGTAGATGTCATTTTTACCTGCACTTTAAGAAAACACTCAATTCCACAAATAGACTCGTAGCAATTTCACCCAAAGATAATGTTTATCTCATTTTTTGAACAATAAAGTATCGTTGACCGATCGACTCGGTTGACTTGACTGGCTAACGAACTAAGATAGTGTTGTCAGTTGCCTTTGGCTTTTTTAATCGATACTTGCATCAATTTTTACAGTCAGTTAAATACTAATAGGAAAAATTAAGCATCAACGTAAACGTGATAGTAATGTGGTTAAAAATGTAGTTTTCGGATTTTCTAGGTCTAGGTTAGAAGACATTAATGGTTGTTATGTTCCAAATATCTTTTTTTAATAATTAAACGTTACATATACCAGTATTTTAAAGTGTTTCATAAAAGTAGTAATTGATAAAAACTTCTCACGAATAAACCCAATCGTGAAATCGATATAAAAATACTTTGCACATCCCTACGTCGGAACTTTATGTAACTGTCACATTTCAAGTCACAGATTAAATTAGTTATTTGCTTAAAAAACTCATTAATTTTGAGCAAATAACTAAATAAAATAGGAATACAAATTATAATCGCATTAGATTAATGAAATGAATGTTTTTCATTTTAGTCAAGAAACATTTTGAGTTACTAACGCCATCTCTCTGCATTACAACACCTACTAAAAATGCTTATTTTCCTCGATAGATGTCACTAATCTAAGTTTTAATATATTCTCGAAAAGTGACATTTGTGTATTTCGACTTTTTTTTCTTTTTCTGCTTTTCGCATAAACACTCATTAAATCAAGTAGGATTTATGTGGCTGGTTTTATATCTTTTTAAAAATAAAGTAATCAATTCAATTAAATTAAAAATAAATACATAACTCCTTAGTGGGGCAGTCCTGTGATTACAACTTACATTTAGAACTAAAAGCCCTAACCTTAAATAACAGTAGCTTATTCTAGGCAGGTGAAAATAAAACAACAATTTCATGACCGAAATTTAATCTCAAAATATATATAAAGTATATCTGATTTCGTATGTATTTACAAATATCGATATAGCTACAAAATAATATTGATTTTTGATATCCATATATTGTTACATATTTTATTTTTAATAATTTTATTGTAGTTAGTACATACACATTCTATGGCACACGGGCGATTTCAAAAACTCAATTAAAATGTTACCATAGTATGTAACATCAAAATATATATATGCTGTAAATTGGCAGTTAGGGAATTTTATTCTACAGAGAAAATTGAGGACGATACAGAAAAGTACCTGATTACAACAAAACAATATTTACCTACCTACTCAATTATCAAGAAAAGTTAGCCAGGTTTCAGAGAAAAAATATCGCAAAATTAGATTTTGTGTTCATTTAAAAAGAATAACAGTTTCAACTTATAATTATTATTATTAATTATGTAAAATAATCTATCGAGATTTTATAAAAACGAAAAAAACAATTGCATTTATAGAAGACAATATTTCTTATAACCGAACTTAACATATATTGTACTTATACTGTACGATAGATAAAAAATCAACTTAATTATCTGTTAGTCACATAATAACAATGCTGTTTTGACAGATAGTGATGTGAACCAACAAAATAAACAAGTTGAATCGATTATTCTCAAAAATCGATTTATTCATGACCGTTGGACTTTCATAAATTATTGTCCTAAGAGAATTTTTAATTCTATTCAAATGTCAAAACGAGTTATATCGTGGTATAGAAAAAAAATCTTGCAAAATAAAATCTAAATATACAGGCATCGGGAGTTGACAACAAGGAAAATAAATATGTTTATTCGAGTCTGAAGGAAAAGGTATTATTAAACTGCTTTGAAACAGATTCGGTTGAAAATTAATATTTTTCGCTGACAACTTCAAGAGAACTAATAGAACGTGAGGTAAAATTAAAAAAATATTAGTACATCTTATTTTCTAACGAGTATATATTTGATCTATTGCCGGTCGTATACCAACTGCATATTTAACGTCATCGTTTTGTATTCATTTGTTTTTACTGTGCTATAAAAATAATAATTATTACCAAAACCTGTCAAACATATTCTATGTAGAGAAATAACGTTTCTTAGTTTATTACCTAAGTCTACATTTGTATGAAATCCAGTAGCCATAGATTTTTAACCTACTAGCTATCGCCCGCGAAACTGTCCGCGTGGAATTAAACAACAAACCAAGGTAAGTAGCTTACGTCTTCTGCTTACAGATATTTAGCACAGACGTAGAGGATAGTCTGAAAGAACATATAGGCTACCTAATTTTGTATTTTCTTAATGCCAGGCGGACGGAGTCGTGGTCCAAAGGAAGTAGATTATATATCTATAGCCGTAGGCTTCATAACATTTGCAATATATTTTATCATCTATGTTCTTAAATTACAACCACTCTTACTTAAAAGTTTAACTAAATATATAAATTGTTATCTGTCATTCATTCAAGTCACATCGTTGCTATATAAGATTCCAACAATAACTTCAATAAATACAAAATATTCTTATATACTATAAAATTCATTCTTTTATTGATATTTTAAAAGATATTTTATACTGTTGATACAAAATATGAGTTGTAGGTAGGTAACTTTGATAAAATTTGCGTGAAATCCCTTGGGACTTTTATTGTTTCTACCCTCATCAACTCTGCATACAAGTGTTTCCTATTGAAAAAAGTTCCGACAATACACTATCTATCGGAATGATTGTGCGAACATGTGAATATGTGATTAAAATCATTAATTTTGTTAGCTTCAATATATTCAATGTTTCGACAAAACTTCCTTAGAGGTCGGTAAAAATCACTCCACTTGTATCTGTACTACCCTAATTTGACGTCATCGAAGGCCATTAGCAGATCGCTGTTGTCCTGCATCATCTCGGGATCTGTCCAGAAGTCGTTGGAAGTCAGGGACATGTTGGAATCGAGAAGCATGTCATTCTGCTGGAGCGGGATGCCTGGGCTGGGTTGCATCTTGTTACTTAGATAAGGGTCGTATCCGTGCAACATACTGACAGGCGACATGTGCCTGCTATTAGGGCTATAGCTCTGCGTGAATTTGCCGACTGGTGACAGCGATTGGGGGGTCGAATAGGGACTGAGGAGTTCCCTTTGCGCGGGGCTCATAGCCGGGCTGGTGTAGTTGGATGTATTCGGGCTGGGAGGGAGAGAGTACATCGGAGAGTTGACGTTAAGGGTTAAAGGAGTCATGGCATTGATAGGTGTGCTTGAACGCATCATGTTGTTAGATGATTGTATGATATTTATGACGGGAATGGGAATGTTGTTCCTATTAATTGAATTTAATTGAGGTAGTGTCTGTCCGTTTATAATCTGTTGATAATTGGGAGACATATTTGGGGTGTTTTGATTGTGCTGCATCTGTTGCGGCATATCCTGTAACATATAAAATATTATATTAATAATAGTAAAAAACATGTAAAACATCATCATCTCCCCTGTCTTATCCTACTCCCGTAGGGTCGGCGCACCGAAAAAAAAAAATTAAAAAATCTAAATCAATTTTATAAAAAAAAATAATTAATTAAAACATATGCACGTTGAAGCAGGTAAAGGATATGGAAAGAGTATTAGCTATGACCTTGACTGTGATTTGTAAATGACAACGACCTTACGTCGCCTGTCGGCCAATAATCAGACGTAACAAGCCAACACAGAGAACTAACATCTACTATTTTGAATATTAGTTACACGTTAGTGCTAATGTTAATTCTTTTGTATATTATGTGCCATATAATACTTTAAAAACCGTGTTTCTATGATTATTTTGCTTAAACTGTTATTTTACATATCGTTTTTAAAAGAAATGTGCAAAACATCTTTTTACTAATTTACTCTCATTTTGTAATTGTTTCGGCAGTGTTAATCATAAGATTTTAAAATCGATATTTTTATCGGTTTTGCACATCGATTTTAGCTTTTCGATAATTAAATTGACATGTTAATCTCTCAAATTGTCATGTAAATTAAATATTTGATATCTTTAATATATTTGAATAGCATATTACGATCAATTTTATTAAATCAAGCATTTATCTTTAATGAATTGGTATAGTTAAGGATAATGGATCCCACATTTATATCAGTCTGCGGCCCTTGGGGTTGCAGTTAAAGGGATTTTCCGGGGTTTCAACAGGATTAGATCTCGAAATGAGCTTTGTGATAAGTGCTCCTTGAAAATGCGGCTATTTTGAAAATACAATCATCGTTATATCAATAACTTAACCCAAGTATCATGTTACTAGGATTAAAAAACATTTTTTTTGCTTCTTTTATTAAATTTGTACGCAAACAGAAAAAATCGAATAGTTATTTTTACCACCGTATTACATTTAATTCAAAAATATAAATATTTCTATAGTGGCGTTTTTTTTAGTTATGGGTTTTTATAATAGGGGATATGGAACATCATTAAATTTCACTAAAATGCTTATAAACTATATAGATGTTATTCAAAATACCTATATAAAAATGCGAAACAAGAAATTCTAGAAAAGGGTATCCAATCTCGTCGTGTCCCAAATCGTGCCGTTAGATAGCATTACTCGGAGCGAAGTAATCGACGCTTCCGATTTGCCGGGGCTACATTTTAGCGCTCCCAGGGAGACGCTTATCGGACTGGAAGAGAACGGACTTAGGGCAACGCATAACTGGACTATGTTCTTATTAAAGTACCAGCTTGCTATTCTAGATATTGTTAAAAAAACTTGCTTTTAGTATTGATCTTTGCGGGTAAAATCTAATGTATCCCTAATCTGTTAGGTTTGTAGAATCTTCAAAAAGTTTTCGTAACTCTAGTACTAATATGTTTTTAAAAATTAAATACAAGTGTACTATGTTATTTCATTTAAAAAGATGTTCATAGGTCTACATGTAAATAATATTATGCCACTCTCCTAATTACCATACAATTACATTTCGTATTTTCGTTAAGCCATAGCAACTCTGTACCTACTCTTTGTCACTCAGGTCGTCAAAGACTAAAAAGTGTCAAAAAATGTCAATTTAAAGTAAGGTTCAATTATTTACCTTTTTAATTGCTATTAATGTGTTCCTCGCAGAAGCAAAAAACAAAGTGGTATTAAATAATAAGGCTGGTAATACAGAAAAATATTGACAAGCATTTATTATATATTATATATTATTATATATATATTATAAGCATTTATTATATATTATATATATATATTATATTTATTGCGTACTTTTCAATAAAATTAGATATATCAACTTTAGTATAATACGAGTAGCAAATAGATTGAAAGATATATTTCTTACATTTATTTCTTATAGTCAGTTAAATTTTTATATTTTTATTGTTAACAATTTTATTAATAAACCCTAGCACACTTTAACAGCATGATTTAATAATTAAATACGTGACGACTGGTCGCTATGTACACTTTTGCATACAATTGAAAATTATTGACATTAGAATTTTCCTTATTCTGTGCAAAGTAAATATGTTTCTCAACTTGTATGTAGTCACAATATTTGCTATTATTGAATGTTACATAAGGGATTACATAAAAAGGTCAATAACCTACTACCATCAAATCGTACGATTGTTGCTATGTCATATTTATACTTAATAATTATATTTTCTTTTCAATATTATCAGAATATAAGACATTGTCGCCTGATTCTTTCTGAAATAAATATATTCAGTTTTAAATACTGTAATTTTAGTTAAAAAACTTATTTTTCACTTGACTTCAATAACTAATCGTAAAATAATGACGTCTTTACTGTATTAAAACATATCGTTGTCTCTTTTAAATGACAGATGACAATCTGTCTACCAGAGTTGAGACAGTGGAAACCCACGCTGTTAAAGCTAATACTCTTAAAGGAGGAAAAGGATCAGGATTAAGGGTTAAATGAAATCAACGTGCATGTGTTTCAGTTTTTTATAGTTTCGTTTTTAATGTATGATAGTTTTTTTTTCCAAAAAAACGATTTTTAATATATCTTTCGAGAAAAATATTTTTTTCTAATAAATCATCGTTCTATAAACTTTACAAGTAATGAACAACGATGATAAAATTATCACTACACATGTTATAATATTTTCTTTTTTTTTTATAAATATTATTTTTTTATATAATAAATGGCCGAATACATTGTTAATTCTACATATATTCTGATAGCTGCTATACATAAAAAAGTTAAAAAAGGTATTCGAAACATTTTCTATGCTAGCCTAATTGATCGAAACATTTAACCGACAAAACTATGAGATATATAAAAACAATATATTATGTATTTGGCAGTGAAGACACTGTAAACTGCAATAAAACCTTCCTCAGGGTGCTATCTTACTCTACAAATAGACTCTAATATATAAAACCTCACACTCATCTAGTCGATAGTCAACTCGATTAATAAAACTAACATTAGGTAAACATAGACAATTCTATCCATAAATAAACTCCTAGGAATAAATAAACAGCGCTCATTATCGCCAAAAGTAAAAAATCCCTACACAACTACCAACATAAGACGGAGCGCGGCAAAATATCATTCGCCTAAAACGACTAAGTTAACCTAAAAAAAAAGATTCAACTGTCCATCACATAACCATAACGATATGCGTACGTTTAACTTAAGCACTAGGACGAAAGACATATTGCTTCAACACTAGGTAAATAGACCTCAACCTCTTAGCCCTTCGAATATTACACTCTTGCAGTCTACAGAAAGTATTACGGAAAGTTACTGGAAGATTTGACGACTATAGAAAGGATCTAAAACAATTTCGAATGATTGACATTTTGTCGATATGGATGATTGATATCACAATCACAGCATTGGAAAAATATATTTTATTTTAATTCGTTCCGGATCTAATACTCGAGCCACCATTCGACTTAACCACCAATCCGTACACTGGACGTCTATTATCACAGTTTATGAATGAACCATCATCACTATTCAAGCCTTGGCTTTGGGGCGCGGGCGACACTGCACCGTGCAGATGTAGCCGGCGTCCACGTCACAGCCGCTCACCAGGAGGTTCATGAGGACGCTGGATGACTGCGACTGCGTCCGCGGCACATCCACTGGGGAGGGGCTGCGCTTGACGCGCTTCGCGATCGGCTCCTCCTCTTGCTTTAACACCCTCTTGACACCAGTGTCCCATGATGATACACTCCTGTTTGGAATGAGACCTGAAAATAAATGTTGAATGTAAAAAAAATACGTTAATGAAAAAAAAAATAAAAACAAATTCTGTAGAGATTATACCTTGATCTGAGTAAATATTCGTTATAAGATCCTGAGGTGGTGGTCCTGTGGGGGCAGCGGCGAGCAGACGTTGTAACGCTGACGCGCTTGACACGTTTTGTGACTCTGAGGGCTGGGGCCTCGCGAGGCTGACATTGTCGGGCAAGGCGCCCCACATGACTGCCGATTCCAGAACCGGCAGTTCATCGCTGGTAGGAATGAACGGAGAATTTCCATCTTCGATGTCATTATCTGATCGACCATTGTCGAATGCATCTAGCGTCAATTCTGTTAATAGGGAAGACTGTTCGCATGACGATTCAGTTTCCTGCAATGGAAATATACTGCGTAATCGTCTGTGTCAAAGACACTATGAACACTAAAAGATACAAAATCGACGAAATTTACCTGAGGATCGGGTGAGGATAAAAGGGAGTCAGCAGTGAGCGAGTCGACTGGCGATCCGGTCGCCAAATCGTCGCCAAGTAAGCTACAATAATTGTCGCTCAAAATAAAATCTTCGAACATATCAAATGGGGTATTCTCCAGTGGGATACAAGTGTCTCCTGCTGTGGGCGCCAAGTGTGTCAGGTCTTCAGGCTCGTCCTTAAGCACTGCAAACAATTGAGATGTAGTAGTTCGATGCTTATAGTCGAGAACGAGCACAATAAAGCAAGCAACAGATACCTAAGCTGTGGAAGTTGTTGTGCCACTCACTTGTAAGTCCTTCGTCTTGGGAGAACATGAGAAAGCCTTTGTTCATTTCTTTCTTTCGCGGTGCGAATATCAATTCTGTGACTGGTATAGGTCGTTCCTCCTCCGGGAGTACTGCGGCTACTATTGCGCCGTTGCCTGCCTCTGTCGCCGGGTGGCAGATAGGGACTGGCGCTGCCTTCTGTGGCTTCGGGACCACGACAGGTTTTACGTCAGCATGCTGCACTTGGTGTGCAGCAAACACCTCATCTCTGCACTCGATACCGCTGAGAACAAAACAAATCACGTGCCAACATATTTCTAACTAATAGGTCTACCGCTGATCGATGACAAAAAATATTCTGTTTAAATTTAGCATTAATTCTCTAAAAATGTACTGTATAGTGTAGCGTTTAGGTAGTTTGCATAGATATGCCATTAAGCCTCAAGTAAGGCGTTACTCAAGACGATAATGAAAACTAGTCATAAGTGAGGAGCGTTGCATTAAGTGCTAATCGTATTCGCGAGCGTACCCTCGGTGTGTCAATACGACATGTGAGTACGTGTAATGTATGGGCGGCTCCGTGCGAGATGTATTGCAATTGCGAACAATCAGCCAACAATACTCAAGGCCGGTGTATAAACGAGTTCACGCCTAGTCTCGTACGGTCCACATAACTAGACAACATTAAACTATTATGGACAGCTATCGAAAACATCTAAATATGAATATGAACGTTAAGGTTTATCATGCAAAGACAACTATAGAATAACGCAACAAAATAATCACTGATAGTCTTTATCCACTAGTAAATTGCTGCGATTAATTAACAAAATGTCAGGCAAAGATAACCCGCAAATGATCCCACAGGAAACGATTGCGTCAGTGATCTTTAATCGAAATCATTAAATCTCTTTGCGTTTTGATAAGGGAATGTTATTAAGTTCCTAAGGTTCACGGCGCGTTTAACCTTATAGATTAAAATAGACGCACTGAGCGGAAATTTCTTACATTACTATAAAACACGGAACCACATACACTTTGTGATGCGACATTTATTTTTCTAATCGAAAGTTTCATTATTTTATATTATATTATATTTCTCATTATTTCTATACGAAAGTTCTAGTTTGATCGAATTAACAACATTAAAAACAACGCTTACGTTACATCTTAAATAACCACTTGAACGTCTGATCGCAAGCTTTCTGTTTGTATAAGTGACGCAACAAAAACAAATCCGTCGGCACAACAGATCCATGCTTATAGGAACCCAGACTCTGTTCCATTGCATAAGTGCATCCGAATGGTATCCATCAGAAAAGGATGGTATAACAAGAATATCGCTGTATAGAGAGGGATAAACGTAGCAACGTAATACGGCCTCGGTAGCGACCTTGGTAGCTCCCATCCCTCAGCGTCTCTCGTTTTCGTCGGCCATTCACAAGGGGGCGCGGTTGCGCGCGCAGCAACAACAATGGTGGGGTGGGTATCGATTGTCCGAGATTTTGATGCGAAGTTTCCAACAAAAGTCTACGTCGTACACTACGCAGATGCACTTTACTACGTCATCAGCGAAAGTGAAACTTAAACAAAAAAAACACGCATTATCTGAACCGTTTCCATCTAAATGATTGTTATCACTACTATACTTTTAATGTAGATTATGTTAAATTTGTTTTCGATTGCCGTAAAGATTTACTGTGTGAAGCATAGAGAGCAGCTGTTAGCGGCCTTGGCCGTGAAACTCAACGGCGAGTAACGCAATTCAACAATTACATGTTAACACGGTCGAGGACGTATTACGTCACATCGTGCCATAGTCAAGATGCTCTTACATTAACGCTTATCCATAACCGGATTTTAGCAGAAATTTAAATTACATTGCTTTAACATGAATTATTTATACAGTGTATTAACTTCGCCGTGTTAGGAAATTTTAAACGTAAATTTCTATTGTGTCTTTATTTAATTTTCACCACGATTATGAAAATAAACTCAAACTTATTCCTTAGAATCACAGTTTGTTTACCGTATAAAATGATTAAACAGCAAGCGGTCACCGGAATTCGCCAAAATAGTGAAGCGAACACTGCCTATAGTGAATTTGCAGATGCGTTTTCTACTTTTAATGGACAGAGGAGGGAAGTATTCAGTTTTTTAATGTTTGTTTATTACTGGAATTTCATAATTAATTTTTCGAGTTTTTTTTAAATCTTATTATGTATCAATCAAGTAGTAAACGTTATATAATTATTACATAAATTATATAAACGGTAGTCATTTGCATTAAAAACAAATTATAGAGTAAAAACAATCAATATAAAATGGCAGCAAGTCAAAAGTCAATACAATTAAATAACTTAAACGTATACAAATACACGTTGTGGAAAAAAGTATTGCGTTTTTATTTATCCATTAAAAAAAAATGATAATTTTAATCAACGTATTTTCTTACACTTAAACAATTTATTTTGTCAATGAAATTGTGTTACTAGTAGCACAATATTTTTTCCATACATATAATAAAATTTGAGTATCTGTAATATCAGAAGAAAAATTCCAGATTTCGGGAAGATGATTTATTTGCGTTGCTGATAACGAAAATCACCTTTTTTTTTGTCGATCTGTCTGTCTGTCCATCTGCCCGCGGGTTACACTGAATTCGTTTGTCATTCCACGCGGAAGAAGTCGCGAGTAAAAGCTACTTATAAACATATTGTTTACGACTTTATAAAAATACCAATAATTAACATGCGTACAATTTACGTCAGCAACTACGATACCGATGTTTATGCAGTAAAAATATTTAAAAATTGATCTTCATGACGATATTACGTAGGTAATTTGGTGCAAGACAGGCGGTAGACTATCGTACGATAAACATTTACAAAACATAAACTATTCAAGGGCGATGCTGATAAGATTTCTGCACATAATATATTTGCGTTTCATCATAACACCGTAAGATTATATTATGTAGGCACAAATAACTATTGCGTTTTCAAAATAAATTGATTCTATCCATGATTTATATGACTAACAAGTAACATCAAGGATATTTTTCTATATTTTAGCAGAAAAAATAGACCTAATGAAACTGAAACCAATATTGAAGTGAGTGTCGTGGACTATTTCTATCACTGGATAGTAATCAATCAAGACCTGTTTATATGTACAATTGGTAATCGATGCATTAATGTGGGCAATGTATGAAGACGCGGCGCGGGAGTCAAGGCCGGCGTCGTTATATAACCAGCTGAAGGCGGCGGGGGACGCATCCGCTAATTTTAGCGCCTCTCGAAAATAAGACAATCGCAGCGAGCAGTCGTGCTCTCAAAACGCATCCCACAGCCCACCCGGTGCATTACGCAAATAATAATTATAACACGAGTGCATTACAATAACAACGATCACATTGTAACCGACGACGCTGATAACTTTAAGCGAAATGTTATAGCTGTATATGTTTTATTCACTACGTACTCGATGCGAATATCCGAACTATATTAACAGTAGAAGCACTTGTATTCTGTACGATGCGTGCGACCGGTATCTGCACTTGTAAGCGGACACATTCACTGCACTTGTACACTACCACGAGCACTCTTACCATGATGGGGTAAGCTTCGCAATGTATCCGGTGTGTGGTCAAGTTTCGGCTAAACAGCTGATCGTGATCGCGAGTTTGGTCGGTAAGAGCGATGCGTGCGTCCGCTGCGGCGTCCGTGCAGGGAATGATACGTAGCGACGGCGGCGCACTCACGCCGACGCTAGTGACGTGCCGAACGCATAGTATACATGGCGCGGAGTAAATGATAAATTTTTTCGAGGGCTCCCGCTCCGTTCATTCGACGGGCACGCGGCGCCTTGATAAGAGTTCGCGGCCCGCAGCGCCGGTGTCGTATCTCGATCACGGTCAGGTTAATGAGACATCACTAGCTCGCGGGTGATACTCACACTACGCTTGTTGCTACGCATCGATAGCGTTTATGGTTATTGGACACTATTAAAAATAATAATCGAGCATATCAATGAGACGATAGTGTTGCCGATTGGTTTACGCTAAAGCTGCTCAATCCAATAGAAGCAACATAGCAGTATATACAAATATTTACAGATTTGTTGTAAAATTATTTAAAAAAATCAAGCAATTGAAGAAAATTGTCTAGGATCTATCAACACGTTTGCGATTGTATTTAATGACATACAAATGAAGAACTGCAGCGATAAGAAGTCAATGCAACATACATTAACAGTCTAATTTAAAAATCCATTATTTATTTGCACGAACGGAACAGAACAATCGATCCTTCAATCAAGACGGGTCAGTTTGTTCGGGCAATCAATATGAGCTTTCACGATATGCCACTCCGCTGAACTAGTTAACAGAGGGGCTTAGAATTTAATATAGATCTAATATAACAATAGAAGGAAATGAAGCCAAATAACTAAAATAATTGTACCAATACCAAGTGTAAAATAGTCTACTTTTTTTAAATAAAAAAGCGTAAATATAAAAATGCTAACAATCTATCTTAGTTGTGAAGTCGACATCGGATACGATAGGATGAAGGCGCGTTGTTCCACAATTTAGCCACGTAACCTAACACCGACCTTTAATGGACCCAGCTCTAGCTACTGCCACACTGGATTACGAATAAGATTATAAAATATTGCATTTGAATTGTTCGCTAAGATATTGCTCTTATAATTTTTATTTTATTAAAGGAGCATTGAAAAAAAGTAAAATTCGTTTTTTGACCGACTTTCCAAAAGAAGGAGGTACTCAATTCGTCTGTATATATTTTTTTATTTTACCTTCCGAAAGATACTATGCAAATTAATAGAGAAAAAATACAGCATTAAAACACTATGTAATAAATAGTTGAAAAGTGGGACACAAAAAGGTTAATTAAGATATAACGTAGACAAAACAATGTAAACCCAACTATTCACCTTTACTTATACCATAGATTTGCATTAAAAAATAAAAAACGTTCAAAAAACACTTACAGTCCGGAAAAAATATTAATTAATTATTTTTTTCTAGGGCACAAAAACACTTAAAATCCTTTTAGAATGTATTCATTTAACATATCATTTAAAAAATCTATACTTTTGTATCATGAAAACAGTCCTTACTTCTCCACTTTTGAAATTAAAATGTCGGAAGACTAGACTACACCGAGTCTCCATTTGGAGTAGTTGCACAAGTTTTACGAATTTAGTATGATGTAACATTTAGGTAATAGTAAAAAAAGCTTTTAAAAAAGGTTAAAAATC